CCCCTTGGGGTTTTTGGGCCCCCCCCCCCCCCCCCCGCCAGTTCTGCCAGTAGATGGCATTCTGAGCATGATGCATGCTTCCCATTAATTCTCAGAAAGAGTCGTACACTCACAGTATGTACAAAATGTGGCTTTTGATTTGGAAGGTATTGCTTTTAGTTCCTCTGAGTTTATTAAAAAAATATGTAATTTTATTTTTTTTTTTAGGCTTACACAGCATGATTTTTGGAGTTCAGTAACTTCTCAATTTAGTTTTGACAGTTCTCTCTTTCTTACTTCTTTCTGTTACCAGGGGGCTGATAGTGGCAATACTGCGGAACAGAGTAGAGGGCATCAGTGCAAAGGGAAGGGATGAGCAGCTCTGCGGTACCACAGAAGCAGCTACTCAGAGTTGTAAGTTGGTGGTGTCGGACATTGCTGGGTCACAATTAAGACTCAGCTGGTCATCTGGAAGCTCCTGTTTGATACAACATAGGAGAAAGAGTATTCCCCCCCACACACACTTGATTACATCTAGAGAAAACTGGTTTTGTCTTGCTAAAATAAGCCAGAACCTACCTCCCAGTCAAATAAAACAGGCACATTAGAAAAGCTTCATTCCACCTCTTGTCTTCCAGCTGGGGAGACTCTTTCACTGGTTTTCTTTCACATCTTTCTACTCTTCCTTATTGCCATCCTTTTATGCCTGTATACTGTTTGAACTGCTTAGATTTGCTTCCCCACTCCAATCTGGGCTGGTTTTGTCTATAAAACATTCTTACACGTAAAGAGAGACAAGAAGAGTTTATCCATAGTGGGTTTGACTCGGGTTAAGAGACTGCACCTGTTTATTTCTGACTTTATATTCTGTGACAAGAAATGGGCTAAACCTTGGCACCTCTATCTTTATCTTGTGCCAAACGCAGTATGTTGCAATTTGTTCAGCACGTTTGGTCCGTTCCCCCCCCCTCCGCTGTGGTTGACACCCACTGCTGTTTGTAATTTCAGCAGCCCTGGCACTGCGAGGGTTGGTGGCCTTGCAGAAAATTGCGTGAGAGAGCAAAGTTAAGGAACAATACGAATAATCTTAATTGCTATGGTAATTAATTATACAACATTCTCATTTATGCTACAGGAGAAGTTCTACTGAAATCACAAACGATCATAAACCTTTTTTTCTACAGAATTTTGTGCAATCCAGAGTGTTCTACAAGTCATGCCCTCCCTATGCACAGATAAAACTTGTTTCTCTTGTAGTTACAGCACGTTGTCTTGACTCAGCGTTTATGAAAGTGCAGTTAGTCACATCTCTCGCTGTAGTCAGACGCAGGAGGTTCCCTTTTGCAATTATTTCACTTTGTCATTAGTGCATTAGTTAAAGACTTTGGGTCCTTCTGTATTTCGTCCCTTCCCGGGGCTGGTGAATTGGGCTGTAACTTTGATCGCTTTGGCTTTGGCAGCGCAGGGTCTGTGTGCGGATCGTGGCCGGCTCTGGGTGTGGGCTCTTCACGATGTGACCATGGCTCTGGGCAGCAGCGCGTCCGGCTCTGTTCCTTGTGCGCCAGTTCCTAAACAAAAAAACGTAACGTGTTTTTAAAGATAGGAGTTGTAGCTAAACTCGGTTCTGTGTTTTGTTCTCCCGAAAATGAAGGATTCTTGTTTTATTAGGATGCGTTCTGGGCTAAGTTCCCAGGAACCTGGTGCGAGCAGCCATCTGAAATGGAGATTGTCAACAGCCCTGTAAAATCAGTGGCATCGCATGGGAAGATTAAAGCCACTTTTCCCACTTCAGCTGTTCTGCTGCTCTGTGGTTGGTGGCAGACTGGTTGAACCAGAGGATAATTCTGAGTTTAATATCAGAAATTATGCCCAGCTTAACCTTATGACCTGTCTCTCTCCTTTTTCTTCTCCTTCCTCCTTCAAGCTACTAGCATTTCTTCGTGCTCGTTTGGGTCTTGTCGACTGCCCTGGCAGTTGCAGCATTGCATTGGTGCAACTTCGTTGTGCTGTAGGTGGAATTACTCTGGGTTATTCTCAAAAAATTACGGACTTGAACCTGGAGCCTCCAAGTTCATTTGCAGGCTGATGGTCAAATAAATAAGCAGAAACAGGCCTGAATCAAATGATCAGCAACGTGAAGAACAAGACGCTCCCAAAGTCAGCGTGCTGGGCTACGGCCCGTTCTGGAGAAAGTTTTGTAAGCTTAGTTCAAATCTTGGCTGTGGATTTGTACCTTGGATCAAAGTTTTGTTGCAGGCCCTTCTCCAATATAAAGCAAAGAAACGTAAAACAACAAATATCTAGTGAA